CGGCCCGCGGGCCGCCTTGCTGGCCGCGTACGGCCTGGACGAGCAGGACCTCGCCGAGCGGGTGCTGGCCGCCAACTCCGCCGCGGAGGACCGCCGCGTCCGCCCGCGGCGCGGCCGCGGCCTGAGCCCCGTCGGCGAGGGCTCGGGCGAGTAGCCCGCCTGGAGTTGCCTTCATGGCCCCGCGAATCGAATCGAATCGAATCGACGACGACGACGACGACGACGACGACGACGACGACGACGACGACGGCGGCGGCGGCGACGACGACGGCTCAAGTATATTTTTGCTCTAATACATTCTGTCATTCTCAGATACGTACTTTCCTTAGTCCACATCTTGCGATGGCTGGCAAGAGCACGCGAACCCAAGGAACGCCAGTGCGGAATGTTCTGGAGCGAGACGTCAGGCAGCGTTTGTTCAGCCCGCTCCACGAGATGGACGACTTTGACTCCTTAAGCTCCCAGCCTGGACCAAAGGTGCACCAGATCTCCTCGCCAGCGGCTCGGGTTCCTGACACGCCTCCTGATGCACGTGAAGGGGGCGCTCCAGCACCATCAACAGCACAGCAATCTCCAACGCTTCAAGAGGTCGCCGCGATCGTCCGCCAGGAGGTCCAGCCGATGCGCACCACCATCGCGAGCTTCGGCAAGCGTCTCAATGGCATGAGAGAGAAGATCGCCAGCAAGTTCGGCGACGTGCGTGGAAAACAAAATTGAGGACATAGACGTTCGCTTCACGAACTTGGAGAACACGATTGGGGATGCAGGCGCGCCGGAATCGAACGTCCACGAAGGTGTCATGAACCACATCAAAACGATGGAGATTGAGATCGCCGAGCTGAGGAGCGCTGCCGGCTCCATCAGCTCCATCGGATCCATTGGCACCGCTTCCAAGTTGCACAAGGTGACGGCGGTCTTCGGGAGCCTCGTTGGCTTTGAAGGGAAGACCGATGCCGAGCAGTGGTTAAAGGATCAGTTGTGGTGGTGCCGCGCCCCCAAGGCGTACGAATTGTACTGCAAAGGTGAGTTTTAGAATCTGTTATTTGGAGTTTTTACTTCTACGTCGGAGCGGGATATTGCAGTATCAAAGATCTGGGAAGCACGCCTCACACGCGAAGACAAGGCGGTGTGGGCGAAGCCGATCTACCCCTCCACACTCGCATTCCGCAGGCCATGTTGTTTGGGGCGAAGGCTTTGTTCGTCGATTGGGGTTTCGAGAAAAAAACTCTCTGGGTTGATGTGGACACGACCGGTTTGAAGCTCGGGAGGGAGACGGTAGTGGAGGCCAAAGTGGACAATGGAACTTTGAAGATGGAGTACGGGACTGGGTGGGAGGATTATTTACGAGATGGTTGGCAATGGAAGGAACTCTTCACCAAACATGCTAGCCGACTCCAAAGGGGAACAACGGGGAAAGGAGCAGAGAAGGGTAAGGCCAAGGGGAAGACGGGAACCTGCTAGGGACAGCACCGGCCGGGGGACGAAGATACCGACACCGAGGAAGTGAATTTTGCCAAATTCGTGGCTTTCTGCAAGAATGTACATATTCAGAACACAGACATATTGGGGCAGATGTTGGGCGAGCTCGAGGGTCTAGATTGGGACGAGTTTTGTTTAAGTGAAGCCAGGGCCACCACTAGAGATGTTGATTAGGAAGGGGTTCATCGTTTGATCTCCGCACTGGGCGACCAAAAGTGTGCAGGCGTGGCCATATATGTCTGCATTCTCGCCATGCTGATGGAGTTCAACAGGTTCGTTCGCACGATGGGCGTATTATCGCTGTTGATATCAAGTTGCACGGGCAAGATTTTACAATAATATCTGCGTATGTTCCGTACGCCTCACGCGATTACATGTTCGACACATACAACAACATTCAAGAAGAAGTGGGCCATGCTAGACGCGCTGATCGCAAACTGATCGTGGCTGGAGACTTCAACACCCAAGTGAATTTTGGAGAGCGTGGTCATCTACTACAGCGTATGGCACATTCCAGCAACATGACCATAAGGCAACGTTGCGGACACAGAGAACGGTCATCCACATACTCAGTGGACTTTTCGCAGCTCCCTTGGCCAAGGGCGGCGCCTCGATTATGTACTCCGCGACTCTTGTATTGATTGCCTTTCGTGTATCAATTTTGATATGGGTTCGGAGCACAGAGCAGTGCGAGCTCGATACGTCCTCCGACGGGCGCCGCGGTCCGCAGGGCGGGGATCGTGTCGCCAACTCCGCTGGAAGCAATTTGTGGGGCAAGATGGAAAAGACCATGCTTTTGGAGATGCAGATTCGACTCTGCTCCGGGACTTGCCTGCACCAACCATGCAGACTCTGGAGGACGTCGTAACGGAAGCAGCCGGGTCTATTGCACGGGACGGCGGCCATTCGAAGCGCCGGCCATGGTGCGATCGTCATATCTTGGAGCTGCGCTGGCAACGCCGTCACGCCGAAACTCAGACAGAAAGGTCACGACTATCGAAATTGATCAAAAAGGAGCACCGAAGGCAATGAGACAGTTCTCCAACGCGCGGGCCGCAGAGAAACTGACCGATTTCAGAGGATTGAAGACTTTGCCTCAGATACATATGTTTCCCACTCAGCAGAGCAACAAGTGCCTCATCAACAGCGAAACACTCAAGACGTCATTGGAGCAGATCTTTGCCACCGACGCGGAAGACGAGAGGGCGGCATGGTCAGACAGATGTTGTGACAAAGGGCCTTACGACATAGACCCATTTACTTCTGATGGATTGCGTCTCGCCCTCAAGAAGATGGATAAGGGCAAGGGCGCTGACAGACGAGGCGTGATCTTGGGAATGTTCGTGCACGGTGGGGACGATCTTCGCAAAGCACTGCTGGAGGGCATGAATGGCATGCTGCGGAACGGTGCCATTGACCCGTCGTGAAGAGAAAAAACCATGATGCTGCCAAAAACGGGCAACCGCCACGACGCGAAGATTTTTGAGGCCCACTGCCATCCTCTAGATAACCTACAAGATCTTCGCGCGGATGCTTTTCGAACGTTTGCAGCCTGTGTTGGACGCTGAGCAACAATTCGACCAAGTTGGTTTCAGGCAGCGCCGCTCTGTAGATGATGCGTTCCTGGTTCTCGAGGAGGTGTGTTCGAAGTGTATGGAATACTATTTGCCGTTGTAGATTACCAGCGTCGACCTTACAAAGGCATTTGATAGGATTGAACACCACGCTATATTCGATGCTCTGCGAAAACAAATATTGAATGACGAATACATCAGGCTACTGTCACACATCTACCAGCGCCAGACCGGCACTGTCAATGGCAGCGCGAGTTTCTGCATATCACGCGGGGTGAAGCAGGAGGATGTATTATCTTCTTTGTTATTCAATGCGGACTTGGAGGACGCTGTGCGTGATCTCGAGAGACAACTTGCTGGATGTGGCATTGCAGTTGGTTATCTGGAGAAGTTGTGCAACATGAGGTACTCAGACGACATATTGTTATACGCGAGCTCCGCTGAAGAAGCCATCCGCATGTTGGGTGTCCTCGTGCCGAAGCTGGGCGAGCGAGGGCTTTCGCTGAACACGAGCAAGACCAAGATTGTGACGAACGACGCCGGCATGTCTAACGCAGCAGAAGGGGCGCACGTTGATTTTGCTGGCGAGCAGTTGACAGTCACGACCGACAAAGATTCTCACAAATATCTGGGTCAAAAATTCTCTGGTGACCTGCGTGACCGCACAATTCGCAATGTTAATTATCGGATGGAGTGTGCCTGGGCTGCATATCACGCAAACAGCAAGGTCTTGACAAACAATAATATATCCCTGAGACTCCGCCTGCGCCTGTTTGACGCCGTTGTCACGCCAACAGCTGCGTATGGACTTTCTACCGACGGGCTCACCGAGGAACACTGTCGTCGCATTGGCTCTGCGCGCCGGATGATGCTGCGCAAGGTTGTGGGGTACGCCAGGCTGGATGGAGATACGTGGGAGGACGCTGGGCGCCGCAGCAAACTGAGAGTTCAATGGGAAATGGACCACGTGCATCAGGTTTCAGATTGGCTCCAAAGCATTGGCAAGACTAGGTGACGTCTGGTCCAAAAATCGAGCTCGGTCTGGGATTCTTGGCCATCAACAGTCATGCGGTGGATGCCCGACAAAGTCCGCAGGAGAGGCCGACCGCGAACGAGGTGGCTCGACAGCATCAGTGCAGTCCTGTCTCGGCTGGGAACATCTTTACACAGAGCTTTGCACGGCCATAATTTTCAGTGGGCGGATTACGAGCAGCAGAACGTCGATTACATGAACGCGTGATGGCCGCCAGCCCTGGTCACCCCCCTTCTTTCTCCCTGTCCTCCTCCTCCTCCGCCCCTCTTCTTGTCGCCCCCCTTCGCCAGATAATAAGAGTTCAAGCGAGAGTGCCTGGTCCACGCCAGGGCACGGCTGTCGACTCGACTCGCCAGGCTGACCCGTCGAGGGCGTCACCGAGCTGATGCCGAGCATTCTGTCTGATGCGAGGGGTGTTGTTCATGTTTGTGCACAAATATAGTCGCTGTTTCACGCTGTCTTCACTTCCGTCCCCATTAGTGGAGCGAGCGGCTCTCTGAGTCGCCCGGCCGGACTTGCTTGCTTGGAGGGGCGGGAGGGCAGACGATGAAAAAATCAGTTCTGGTGGCTTGGTTTCATTCGTCCGCCCAACGCCATTATTATGAGGCCCGCAGGGGGGGCGGGGGTGGGCGGTATCTCGTTTGCTCCCATTAAGGCCAGCACCTTCTTCGGTGGCGACTCATGGGAGCCGCCTCCCATACCTTCTTGTCGGCTCTTGCGAATCGACGCTCATCGACGCTAAATCGACACTAGTCGACGCTAAATCGACGCTAACCGACGCCAGCCGACGCTAAATCGGCGCTATCTCATCGGCTCCCAGACGCCAATCGACGCTACAGACGGAACCATGAGGCTACTGTAGGCTCCCATGATCTGCCACCGAAGCCTTCGAAGGTCCGCGCCCCCACCGTCGCCTCCGGAGCTGAGATCCGCACCTCTGCTGGAGGCCTGGAAGTGGGCACCAACACCAAGACAGGGGGTTGCCCCCACAGGGGAACCATGATCCTAGATTTCGGTGTTGGTGGTGATACTTCGGTCACCTTTCGGGAGCGGCCAAGAGGGGGGTGTCGAAGAGGGGGGGGTGCAAATCATGACCGGCGGCATGTGCGCGGCCCAGCGGGGGGGCCAGGGACGTAATGAAATGAGAAGAGGCGCCATGAAATCTGGGGAAATATCATGGCCCCCGCCATGATATCCACCCCCCCCTAGTCATCACCCCCCTCTTTTCCGCCCCCGAACCTTGGAAGCCAGAATACTACCAACCACCACCAAGACCGGGACCTCCTGCCCTCGGTCGGGGCACACCGCCGAAATCGGTGTTGGTGTCAACCTCTGGGCCTGCGACTCTGGCCGCTTCCGGACCCGGCGCGCGCCGCACCCGGCCTGGGCGCCCGGGCGCGCGGTCTGCCGCCCGCCTCGAACTTATCCCTGTCCCTAAGAGGGGCGAGCAAAAAGCGAGGACAATCTCGGGGATAGGCCCTCAGAAACTGAGGGAATCCTTGAGATCGGCATCGAGGTGAGGTGATGTCAACCATAGGGACAGGGACATGTTTCGAGCTGGTGAGGTCTGCCGCCCGCCGGCATGCGAGGGGAGCGCCCGCCGTGCGCGGGGGCCCTCGGGTCGCGCGGGAGGCCCTTCGGCAGTCCTCAGCAGTCTTCGGGGAAGGCCCTGCCCTCCACAGGCTGCCAGCCCCGAGGCCTCGAGGTAGGAACATCGACGACAGAATCTGGATCGACCCCGGCATTGGCATGTGTAATTTCTCGTCGAAGCCCACGAAGAAAATACACGTAGAAGGGCCCGTCGAGCCCACGAAGAATACGCAGGATGTTCCGTCTTCGGGGAAGGCCCTGCCATCCACAGGCTGCCAGCCCAGATCCCTCGAGTAGGAAAATCGACGACAGAATGGGTCTACGCCAGAATTTACGTTGAATCTCTCGTCGAGCGCATACGCCGAAGGGTCCGCCGAAGCCACGAAGAATGCGCAGGATAATCCGTCTTCGAAGGTCATGCCCTCCACAGGCTGCTAGCCGTGATCACTCGAGTCGGGAATGGACTGCAGAGTTGATTTTCGGCGGCGAGCGAGGGGGGGAAGCGAGAAGGAGAAGGCCTTCTCAGAAGGCGGCGGAACTTCTCGGAAGCCCTCGCGCCTTCTGATAATGTTTCTGCGTCTTCGTGGAACACTTCGAATGCCGGGGGACTTCCGAACTTCTGAGAAAGCCCGCCCCTTCTCACTTACGCCCCTCGCTCGCCGCCGAGATTCGCCCCAGCATTGATTTTCTCGTGGGGCCCACCAATTAATACGCAAAATGTCGCCTCGACCTACGGAGCATTCTATGCATTTTCTCATAAGTTTCAACGGGGCAATCAATTCGGGGGTCAATCAAGTTTGTGGTCGACTTCTTTTTCGAATCACCCGATGCCAGACTTCTACAAAACTAAGCCAGGCCGAAGAAGAAATCGGGCCTCTGAGATCCGGAGGCTCTGGAAAATGCCTCGGGCGCCTTGCCCTTCTCAAAAAGTTCTAAAACGCTCTGAGAGCGTTCCGGAACGCTCTGAAACGGATTTATCCTCGTCCTGGCCCCTTCCGAAACTTTCTAGTCGCGACTGGCGATATCGGTCGCTACCGACTTTGCTTCAAACTCCTGCGACCCATTTGCTTCAAAATCGGGCGTGACCGATCGGTCCCGACTGATCGATCGCGATCGGTGGCGACCGACCGCGACCGCAAACATCCGGTCTCCAATGATCTGGAAGGCTGGCGCACGCCACCGGATGTCTGGTCCCCAGCTGGCAAGGCCCCTCTCCGCCTCCTTGCCTCATGGCACGCTGCTGCCCCACAGGGCTCAATCCACCACCTATGCCTGCCCTTCGGGGTATCCCTCCTGACCCATGTCGTGACATGAAACCGTATGCTGTCACACGTAGCTCATGCCAATATTCGCAATGGTGTGAGACGCTGTTGGCCTTGTGAGACTGTTCTCTCTTCTTTAAGGTGTTCATCCTGTGGCGACCATGAGCAATCCGCCGCCGTGCCCCCTGGCACGTTGAGGCGTGGAAGAATGCCAAGGGCTGTCTTGTAGAGTTTTTGTGACCTAATAAGGGGCCGCCCCCCCCCCTCAACTCGCAGACTGCCGCGTGCATCTCCCCTACTCACCGAGGCCACTTCCCTCGCTCCCGCTCTGATGCCTGAAACCCCTTTCCACGCGTGCCCGCTCGAGGATGGTGCACTTTTTCCGCGTGGCAGCTAATACCTAAACCCCCCTTCCACGCGTGCCCGCTCGAGGATGGCGCACTTCCCGCATTGCAGCTGATGCCTGAACCCTCATTCCATGCGCGCCCGCTCGAGGATTGTGCACCTCCCGCATGGCCGATAACTCCTGGACCCCGCATCCCACGCGCATCCGCCCGAGGATCGTTCACTTCCCGCATTCCCAGGCGCTGCTCCCAAGTGCTGCAAGGCCTTCCAGGCCACGTTCACTCGTTAAAAACACAAGAGATATGCGCCCCGAGCTTCGAAGGTGGCCCGCGCGGGCAACGACGGACACCAAGATTGCCCAACATATCTCGAAGACGGCCCGTGATGATCCCAAGGCGGCCGAACACGACCTGAACACGGCCCAAGCTGCCTCCAAGGGGACCAGACAGGGCCACAAGAGGACCTCCAACAGGGTCCGAGGAAGCCAAAAGCATCGATTCCCGTGGGTGTTTGAATGATTGTCGCATTCTCGCCCTCTCGGGCTGCCGTCCGTTCAAGACGGCCCAAAGACTCCATGGTGGCCCAGGCGACATCCAAGACGGCGCCACAACGGCCCAAGAGGGCCTCTCATGGGACCCAAGACAACCTTCGAAGGCCCTTCGACGGCCCAGGACGGCGCGAGGACGGCCCATCGACGGCCCCCCGACCCCCACCATGCGGCCAAGAGGGCCCCAAGGCGGCCCGAGAGAGCCCCAGAGCCAGGGCAGGAGGGCCCCAAGAGGGCCTCCATGGACCCCCAAACTGCCCCAGAAGAGGCCCAGGCAGACCCAAGACGGCCCAAACGAGTTTCATCATCATCGTCATCGTCATCGGCAGCATCATCATCACCATCACCATCACCCTCACCCGCACCCTCCTCCTCATCATCAGATCACCCGCAGCATAAGCATTATCATCAACATTATAATAATCAGCATCAGCGTCAACAGTAGCATCATCACCATCAACAACAACATCAGCATCATCGTCACCAGCATCATCATCGTCATCAACATCAGCATCAACATCATCATCAACATCAGAACCAGCATCAGCATCATTATCATCATCAACAGCATCACCCTAGTCATCCTAGTCTTCATCGTCATCCACGCCATCATCGACATCGTCGTCGTCATCGTCACCGTCATCGCCATCATCATCGCCATCATCATCAGCAGCATCATCATCATTATCATCATCACCACCACCATCATCAGTATCACCATCATTAGCATCAACATAATATTCATCATCAGCATCGTCATCATCCTCATCCTCATCCTCATCCTCATCATCATCATCATCATCATCATCATCATCATCATCAGCATCATCATCATCATACTCATCATCGTCATCATCCCCAATATGCTCAGAATCCCCATCACTCTCATCACGGCTCCCCCAAGCCTGGAGACACTGGGATCCACGCGTGACGGCCTCCCGTGAACCTCGAACAGTCCTCACCCAGAATGCAGGCACGGCGGCGGGACTTGCCGCAGGCAGCTGTATATCTAGGAACCCACGCATGCTGCACGCTGCACCTGAAAAGCAACCATGTGCCTTCACGCCATCAAAATACCATTGATCTATTTCTGCTCCCAAACCGTGCCATCTGGAACGAATAGGAAAACTTCCGCTGTCGGGCTTCCTGATGATCAGTTCTTTGTGGGAATGTATCGTTTCCTCTCTGCACTTGGTGATGGAGCACGGCCCACTCACCCACAAAACTTTCCAGCACACGGAATATCACTGCATGGCGAAGCACGGAAGTAACCCAACTCCTACCCGTGCCAGGAGAGGCCAGAATCGAGTAAGTTGGATCGGCGATCGAAAAAAATAATGGGATCAGCGGAAATCGGCAGCCAAGTCGATGGAAGTCGAATCTGGGGAAATCGGCGGGCTAATAAGGCCTTCAGTGAGAAATCGGAATCTAAATCGAGATCCGACAACGAATCGAACCAGAATCGGATCGGAGGAGACGGAATGAGCCCTGCACCCCTAGCCCCTCCATTTGGCAACGTCGGACTCCTCATCAGCGAGGTGGTGCAAGGGGTGTGTATCTCGCCACCTGTGACGCTTGTTGTACTCGTCGATGTTCCCCGTCTGCGCGCGGACGAGAGGCGCAGAAACTCTGGACTGGGAGTCCGTCTACAGGAGGGGTGGAGTGGAGGAGTTGTTTCCCTGACAAATCTTGCCTGGACGGCTCTCACTGGCCACTTCAAGCTGGAGAAGTGGGTCTGGCGCAGATGGGTCCGCGGGTATAGGTGCAATAAGAATTGCAACAGTTGGAGCCTGCATGCAATAGTGTGTACGATGGCTGCGATGGTTGCGCGTGGATGCAGTTGTGGATTATTCTTTCGAGTGCACGAGCAGTGGTGCAGCAGGTCATGATCCCCCGCAACTGCGTTGTACGATTGCACGCAATAGTCAACTCGTATATTCAGGACGCGCGATAAGGATGCCAGGGCCGTGGAAGGCCATGTCGACACTTTGCGAGCGGGACGCGGCCACCGAAAGTGGCCAAGGGTGGACCGAGGAGGCAAGGATGCAAGGGTACCCTTGGGAAAATTGACCATCCTTACTATGCGGGTTGACTGTAGGTTGTGACCCCCGCAATTGTTGCGCACGATTGCACGCAGTAGTTCACCTCATCTGCGCCAGACCCACTACTCACACTTATAGAGGAAGAGAAACACATAAACATAAACGTTCGACGGCCCGCGCGAAGCGTAAAACGTTTACACGTCGTTCATTTCTAATCGTGCTCATTTCTAAGTGTGCTCGTTTCTAATTGTTCCTGGCCCCCTAGTGGCCAGGAAGAGGCCCAGGATAGAACGGTTAGAAATGAAAGGATCTTGGCCCAAAAAAATCAAAGAACTTTCGAATACTTAGAAATGGATGATGTGTACGTGTATGTGGCTCTCTCTTCCCCGAACTCAGCAGATCCACCTCAGCACCTCCAGCAACACGTATTCCCGGGGCCGCGCCCCTCCCGTGAGCCTCGCGTGCCCCTCCTACGAGAGAACGGCGCCCGCGTGCACCGCACCATGTTTAGACCAGCGCGTCCCACTACCTGCAGAGCAGCTACTCGCGAATGGCCTAGATTTGGGTCGGGCATGTCCTCCTACAGGCGGATTTTGGACGAAAGCCGAAATTGATGTAAAACATAGTCAACACTTGCCAAAAATTAGTCGAAACATCGTCCCCAGGCTAATTCACTATTTTTGCATATTCCTCCTGTAGAAGGACATGGCCGATTTAAAGCTGCTCGCAAATGGCCTATATCCGCTGCGAGGATTTGCGATCCCTTACATCGAGGAAGACATGTTTTTTGCTGACGTTTGCGAGCATAGGCACGTTGCGAGTAGTGGGACGCGTTCGATGAATGCTTGGACTCCCTTCAGGCCCCGCGCCAACGCGAGACGGTGCATAGCCCTTCGGCTCCAAGGGGCTGAGAAGCCATGCGCAGTACCATTCCTGGGGCTCCCAGAGCATCGACGCCGCGGGAGACGCCAAGACAACGCCTGTCGTCCGCGGAAATCCCGAGTGTGCCGGCCTGCTTCTGGTGCGCCAGCGTGATGGCCAGGAAGCTCATTCCAAGCTTGGGTCGGGCATGCCCTCCTGCAGGCGGACCTCGGACGAGACAGCAAAACGTACGCAACAAAGATTCGAATAGCCAGCAGATCGTCCCCAGACAATTTTTTGACTATCTTTGAAGACTCCTCCTGTACAGGGACAGGCCCGACTTAATTCCAAGCGTGCCAGCTCGCTCTGGGCAGCGTTGGCGGCGGGCACAAGGGGGTGGGGGGCGGGGGAGGACTTCTTAGAAGGAGGCTGCTTCTCAGAAGGCGCCGGCCTTACATCTGTAGACAAGGCCCGCGCCTTCTGAGAAGCAGGGGTGCTTCTAAGAAGCCTTCCCCCCGCCCCCTACCCCCCTCTGCGCGCGACTGAGTACACCCTGCGAAATGATTAAGAAATCATGGGTTAAGAAATTCATAGTCTCAGAACTTGAACAAAAACCCAACATTTCCTTTCAAATCTTAGGATTTACATTGAAACATTAAGAATAATCGAGACTCTGGCCGAAAACTTGGGTTTTCTTAAGCATCGCTTAAGGTGTAGAGGGACAGGCCCGACTCAACTCCAAGCGTGCCAGCTCGCTCTGGGCAGTCGCTCGCGCTGGCGGCAGTGCCGGCAGCCCGTGCCCGAGAGCGAGAGGAGGAGCAGCGCGGCGGGCTCTCGAGGGCTCGCAGAGGATTTGGTATCTCCCGCCATCTGCGCAGCGCATCTCTTCCAGAGGGGTGGCGGGGAAACCTCCCCCTCCTCCTCCTCCTCCACCTCCTCCCCCTCCTCCTCCTCCTCCTCCTCCTCCCCCTCCTCCTCCTAATCCTCCTCCTCCTCCCCCTCCCCCTCCTCCTCCCCCTCCCCCCTCCTCCTCCCCCACCCCCTCTCCTCCTCCTCCTCCTCCTCCTCCTCCTCCTCCTCCTCCTCCTCCTCCTGAGGGAGACGTGGACCTCCGACGATCAAGGTCCCACGCGCTTCTTCTCGGAGCAGTGCCGAAGTCCTGGCATGAACGTACGTTTTGCGGCCACGGGCAACTCGCGGATGCTGGAACGCACCACGCCGAAAAGAAAACGGACAGGAGGAGTTTGGACCGGGAGGGCGAAAAGGCGTGAAACCTGTCATGCTGAGGGCAGTACGCACTTGGCAGAAGATCAGGCTTAGCTGAGAAGTCCGCACGGGCGCCAGGGACGAAGGATTGCAAAAAAAACCGAAGGATTGCAAAAAAACCGAAGGATTGCAAAAAAAAAACGAAGGGTTTTTTTTGCAAACCCGAAGGTTTTTTTTTGCAATCCTTCGGTTTTTTTGCAATCCTGGCTTCAAGGCTTGGACCGAACAGCGCAGCGCACTGCGGCACGACACGAAGGACTATAATCGGGAAGCTCTGAGAGCAGGCGGGTCTGGAGAGTGCGTCGGGCGCCGCGGCCGCTCCAGAGCTCCCTGGAATGATGGGCCTGTTTTCCACCACCACCACCATAAGTTGGAGGGGGGAAGGAGGAAGAGGAGGACGAGGAGGAGAAGGACGATGAGGAGGAGGAGGAGGAGGAGGAGGAGGAAGGCCCCCTCCCCCTCCAACCTATGGTGGTGGTGGTGGAAAACAGGCCCATCATGGAACGCTCTGCAAGCTTTCTGGAACGCTTCCTTGAACGGCTTTGGGGAAACCCCCCCAAAACGGTACCGCCACTCCCCGAACCTCTCCCGGGGTGCGTCCTGACCAGGATCTCAAGGCACATCCAGCCGTGGCGACGAGAGCCTCTGAGGAGCCCCCCAAAACGGGAAAACGAGGGAAAGGTAGCGTTGTGGGTACCTTCTCCTCCCCTGAGTTCTGGAACGCTCTGAAGTAACTGATCCTCGTCCTGGGCCTGCCGGAACCAACGCCGACGATGAGTGTCGACCAAGTCACCCGGACTTCGCACCTGTCGCGCCCCGCGGTGCGCGGTGCGCGATCATTTCGTTCGCGCCCCCGTGGGACCACCCTTCGGGAACTCACTGACCCGGGTCAATGCAAACCGGGTCAGTCAGGCGTTGCGGGATCCTGCAAGATCCTGCAGGATCCTGCAGGATCCTGCGCCCAAGCCCGGGTCAATGCGACCCTGGCCCTACAGGATCCTGCAAGATCCGGCGCGCTGACTGACCCCCTCGCCATCGCTCGGACGTCCATTCCCTGCGATTTTTTCGGTTTCGTGCGTGGCTCTTTCGCCAAATGGTCCAGGATGCTCCTCGATGGTCCTCAGCAAAAAAAAAAAAACACACGTCCGAGCCCCGTCTCTCGAGCCCCGAGCCCTGGAGAGGGGCAGCACCCCGGCCCGGGCCGCGGCGCGAAAAAAGCACGGGCGTCCCCGCGCCCTCTCGGGGTGGCCTGGTGCCCGGACGCCCGAGACGGGTGCGGAAAGCGCGAGCACGACGCCCAACAGCAGATGCTGACTACCTACCAGACCACCCCAACCCAACCCGAAGACCCGAATTTGACTCGAATTTCGGGTTGGGGGGGGGTACGGATTCCATGTGCTTTTTCAATGTTCCCCGACCCCCCCCCACTGGAAATCGAGGATAAATTTGGGCCTTCGGGTTGGGTTGGGGTGGTTTGGTGGGTGGTGAGATGCTGCCCCAAACCAGCATCGGCTGCAGTTGGGCGGGCGGCCTTCTGCCTCAAGTGGACAACGCCCGCGGCGACACCGACAGCGAGCCCTGCTCACAAGGAACAGGACCTCTTGTCGGTCTTGGTGCCCATCATTTCCATCCTCATTCCGATCGCCCCAGATATTCATAATGCGTGTTGGCCAAGATCTGGCTTCATCCGACCGGGCTTCTGACCTTGTCCTGGGAGGGGCTCTGGCTGCCCCCCCGCAGGTCTGGCCCCACCCCCTCCCCTTTCGGGTCGTGTTTCCACTCCTCCCCACTTCCCGTAAAGTGCAAGTGCATGGGAGTTGCCAGCTCGCACGCGCGTCTCGCTGTCTACTTCTGCCCAGAGGGCCGTGCAGCACTCGAGCGGGAGCTGCTTGTCAGAAGCTGGAGAGTGAGTTGATACCCACTGTTTCTCTGCGTACGCACCGTCTGGTGCAAGGCTCTACCTGAACTGACCTCTCGCCTTCACCCCCTCTTCCTCCACCTTTGTTTCCCCTTCCTCTTGTTTCTTTCATCATTTTCCTGCTCCGCCACTTACGTTTCCCCTTTCCTCTGCTCCTGGTGTTGCTTCTCTTCCACCACCAAATCGGTGTCCTCATCTCCCCTCTACTCCTCCCCCTTACTTCTCATCAGTATCCTGCTCCTTATGATGACCTCCTCCTCCTCCTGCTTCTCTTCCCACTCATCATCCTCCTTTCCATTGACCTACTCTACGCTTGAACCTTATCCTCCAACTCTCCGCTTCTCCCTGCTCTATCGGCAACGTTGCCCTGTGTGTGATATTGTTTCGCGACTCGTCCTGCTGTGGAAGATTAGCTGAGGTACTGGGTAAACTCATGCTGCTTAGCCGTAGTAAGCTTCACATCTGCCTCCTCCCCGATCCCTCCCGCAGTGCTGAAATCAATGCTTGCGTTTGGCGCATCACGCCCCCACCCCCGACTTCATATGTGTTTGATGCGCTTGTGCTTGAGAGCTGTTCGAGTCCCACCAGCAGGGCGATCAACAATAAGATGGAAGGCAGGGGGGGGGCTCAATCGGCACCACCCCCATGTTGAGGGGGAACGACAAGGGGGGGCTGGCTGGCGCGGGTCGGCGGGATCCTGCGAGCGCGCGATGCCGTCGAAGGACGTGATGGCGGCGCCGCGGAGCCTGCGCAGAGGGGAGGACAGGAGGGAAGGAGGAGGGACGGGGGAGGGATGGAGGGAGCATCACATGCTATGACAGCGAAGACTGAAGATTGGTCGACCCGCCCAATCCAAAACCATAACGGCTCCTTGGCCACGATTACTCCGCATGCGCTCAATCTCTCAGCTTCACTGCCATCCCTTGAGGAATGGAGGAGGGAGCAGGGTGGACAGAGGGAAAGGAAGGGAAATTTTGGGAGGAAGCGAGGGTGGGGAGGAATGGGAAGAGGGGGAGGGAGAAGGGAGGAGTAAGGAGAATGGGAGCCAGGAGAAAGAAGCAGGATAGAGCCGGGCGACGAACATCTCTCGCACGAGGCAATCCAGTCAGATGTCGGAAGCAAGACGCCACCATGCTGAACACAAGACTGGCGCCCTATGCACCGTACTGATGTTCTGTGAGGGGGTGGGGCCTCGTTCGCACACGACGGCGATCTTTACACGAATCATTAGATCATCGTACGCATCCTTCCGATCATCATGGCGATCATCATGGGGAGGCCCAAAGATGCTGGTACCGCTATTCTCCGGACCTCTCCTGGGGTGCGTTCTGACGAGGAGTTCAAGGCGAATCCAGCAGAGGCGACGAGGGCTTGCCAGGAGGCCCCCAAAGGGGAAAACGTGTGGGAGGGTATCGATGTGGGTACCATCTCTTCCTCTGACATTACACGAACCCCTCGACACAGTACCCTCGGGGCCCTTGTGCGTGGTACTCGGGAGCGCGGCGGCCCCGCAAGCCACCCACAGAGGGCGGGCCCTGCTCAGATTATAATCAAAGATGATTTGTCAGGATGCGAAGTAAGGATCCAAGCCCTTGGAATGCCCATGTTTGAGCTTTTCGAGTGGGGCTGGCCGGAAGGGGTTAAGGATGTACCGAGGAGGCATGGATGCACTGGTGCCCTTGGGAAGGTTACCCAATCTTACCATCGGTTTCGACTGTACCCTGCGCGCGCCCTCCCAAGAGGCAAAAGCGACGCCCAGCTGTTTGGACCGACCCCTGATCCGCCACTGATTGAACCACACAGTCAAAACTGATAGCAAGGATGCGCGGTAAGGATGCAAGGGCCTTGGGCGCACATGCTGGGGATTTTCGAGCGGGGCTGGCCATCGAGAGTGGTTAAGGATGGACCAACAATAACCGAAGAGGCAAGGATGCAATGGTGCCCTTGGGAAGTCGATCAGCCTTACCATCAATGTTGACTCTAGGGCCTGATGCCGTGCTTGTGTTTTGAAGTGGTGAGCGACCCCTGCGTTCGGGGCATCATGGGAGAATGACGAATGCACTAATCGGCCACAGAGCTGTGCTGGCGTTGGCCGTGCCATTGGAATGGAGAGGTCGTTGATTGAACCGTGCCCCTCCTGGTGAGCGCCCGGAAGACAGCACGCTTCTCCTCCGCGACCTCAGCCCTCTCAAGCTGGTCCACCATCTGGTCGCTCTCCAGGATAGAGCTGCCCGTGAGCTCCTACAAATCGACAGCGCGGGCGCGCGCGCGCGGGAGGAACCCCGAACGTGTCTCATATGTGGAAAGCCCTTGTCCGCATAAACAGAACTAGTGTTCTAGAAGGTGCTGACTCCATTCGGAAGCCACATGCCTACGTATCCTGCACACAACACTCGAACGCGCCCAGACCATACGTGCACAATTCGCACGTGCCCTCACCATGCTCCGCCAGCGTGCCGATCAAGAACGGCCTCGAGACGAATTATCAGACCCGATTGGGCGGTCTCAATACCTGCGAGCCTGAAAAAGGCCAAATGTTCTCGGGTCCCATCGACACTTCTGCATCGAATCCCGCAAATGCTCCCCAAAGGCCCAGATTCTACACCCTGCGAAATGCTTAAGAAATCATGGGTTCAGAAATTCATAGTCTCCGAACTTGAATAAAAACCCAACCTTTCTGGTAAAATCTCAAGATTTACATTGAAACGTTAAGAATAATCGAGACTCTGGCCGAAAACTTAGGTTTTCTTAAGCATCGCCTAAGGTGTAGGCTGGCCCCGGCGCCGCTGGGCGCTCCCAGGGCTCCCCGCGCGACTGCTCCCGCAGCCAACCAATCATGCAGCATCGGCCCTGGCAGGGAAGGGGGGGGCCCGAACCGGCCCACAGAGCTGTCTGGTGCAGGGAGGCCCCCCAGAGACCGCGAAGAGGCCCCCCAGAGGCGCCCAGGACTTGCTTGGTGCTAGGAAGGAGGAGGAGGAGGAGGAGGAGGAGGAGGAGGAGGAGGAGGAGGATTGCATCGCATTTCATACTTTTGCGGTGCGCTGCGCAGCTTTTCCCCGCATCACGCCGCCTTGCATTGCTCTGTGCGCAACCTATATTGCACCACAGTGATTGCATCACTTATCGTGCACCGCAGAGATTGCATAAATCACTGTTTGGGGTCCAAGCTGGCTAACATACAGTAGGAGCTCGACCACAAGACACCTTCCACAAGAAACTTAACCCTAAGACCCCAGGACGTCCACTGATTTTTGGTGTGGGAACGTCACGAATTCCGCAGCAAAACCGTCGAAACCCAAGAAATCCAGGGCACCCTGGAGGCAAGCAGGGTGTTTCTTGGCATGGGCTTCCACTGTAACATATGAATGCCCCTGATTAGCTGACTAACCGAACAAAGTGCGCTCACGACGCAATTGCTCGTCAGCTTCTTGCCTCCGCGCGTGCTTCGTTCCTCCGCGTGCGCTGCGAGGGGCGCACCGCTGTGAGCGCGCGCGCTCGTTCAAGCATGCGCTCTGGCGCCACAGGGGCGCACGGGACTCCTGTGTTCCAGTAAACGAGTCATTCGCGGTGGACTCGACGTGGTGCGATCAGAGTGCTCAGCTTGTGTTCTCTGTCTCTCTGTCTGTCGTTCGCCCCCTTTCTCTCTCTCTCTCTCTCTTTCTCTCCCTCTCTCATTGTATATATGCGTATATATAAATTAGTATATGTGTATCCGTTGGTTCTCTCTCACTCTCTGTTTGTTGTTGGTTGTGTTGTCCTCTCTTCCCTCTCTCTCTATCTCTCCCTCGCTCCCCAGCAGGCGTATCGACAAGACGGTACAGCGCAACATACGCGTGGAAATCTCACGCCTTCCGCGCCACACCGGGCCAACTTCCCGCGCCCGGTCCGCGAGAGACCTGCTGCCCGCCGGGAGAGCAGAAGGCGCGGCACGCACGCGGTCGGTCCGCGGCCGTGTCTTCGCGGCCAAACGGCTCCAGATCTCCGTACGGCATCTCGCCGTCCACATCGAACGTTCTTCCGCCTGGCCGCGAGCAGGCAGGGCCGCGGCGCACGCTGGCTCCGCCACCGCCAGCCCCTGCACGGTGGAAGAACTTGAGCAAGAGGGCCCAGATGGTCCTTCTCCTCCTCCCTGCCTCCTCGTCCCTTCCTCGCCCCTCCTCTCCCAGCCCCGTCGTCTGGATACCCGTGCCGATTTCGTCAACTTGTGGACTGCCACACCTTCACGCCGCACGCTGACCAGCCGAGCGCCGAATCACAGCGGCAATCCGACATGATCGTGCTTTCCCCCCTTCTCCTCGTCCTGCACCCACCTTCCCGAGGGGGAGCGATGAGGGGGGGACCGGCTCAAGGGGGGGAGCATCTACCTCTACCTGGGATCGGATCGCCGATAGATCGACGATGGGCCCCCGATAGCCAAGAAACCGCACGGTACTGGGCGGGGCGGGCTTTCGGCCACCTATCGGCAATGAATTGGCGATTGGGCTCCCTGACGTTGCCCCTTTATGCCCTCTCCCTCGGTGTTCAAATCGGCCGAATTCCGGCCCCCCGGCTGGCGGGGGAGGACTGGGAATAGCCCCAAGAAGGCTCGGAGCGGGGGCGTGCCAGCGCCTGCTGCGCAGAGCGACGCAGAGAAGCGCGCCGTGTGTGGGAGGTCGGCCTCTCGGATGCCCGCCTCCCATCGCGCCTCGCAGCTCGTCCGCGGTCGCCCCTTGCGGCACCTCTGGTGGCTTTGACAGCGCGGCCCCCGGCCGGTGGCCTCTCGCATCTCGGGGCCCCCTCACTGCTAGTCGGCGTGGACCCCAAACATTGATTACGCGTTGGACTTGCAAGCTCAGTGGTGAGACCATGCGGTGCAAGCTGCGTTGTGCAAGCTATGCGTAGCAAGCTATGTGGTGCGCACTATGCGGTGCATTCTACGTGGTACCATGTGCGTGGTGCAAGCTGTGTGGTCCAAGCTATGTGGTGCAAGCATTGTGGAGCAAGCTATGTAGCGCTATAAACATGGTGCAAGCTATGTGGTGTGAGCTATGTGGTGCAAGCTAGGTGGTGCAATCTGTGTGGTGAAGGCCAGGTGGTGCAAACTGTGTAGTGTGTGCTATGTGGTGCAAGCTCTTCGGTGCACCCTACGTGGTGGAATCTAGTTGGTGCAATCTACGTGGTGCAAGCTACGTGGTGCCAGCTACGTGGTGCAGTCTGCGTGGCGTGAGCTTTTGTGGTGTAAACTACTGTATAGGTGCGGCGACGGACGGGAACGGGGTCGCCCAGCCCGCAAGCAACCCTTTAATTTGGAAAAATGAGGCGGCGACGGACGGGAACAGGGCCGCCGGGCCCGCACGCGGGCCCGTTGCCCAGAAAGCAAGTAAGAACCCCTAAGCGCAAGCACTGTTCGGAGAATGATGACGACGAAGGCCGTTTTCCTCGAGGAGCGGGAGATCAAGAGCAATACCACGGTATGTATAGCCACCGTCAGGCGAAGCTCGCTACAGCAACTGAGGCCCCAGTGGGGCTAGGGCCGTGTGCATCCCACCAGGCACCCGAAGGAAACACACGCGTCGTACATGCCGCTGGGGAAACCATCTTGTCTTTGTGGTCGTCCTCCCCCAGCAAGCCTCCAACGGCAAACCCTGCTCACCCCAAATGCTTCACATAAACAATCTTCATACAGAAGGCCACTGTCAGTACGTCCGTGGCCCACTTTCAGCTGAACCGTACCAGACGCGACCCACTGCGGAATCATGGCTGCACTTCGCGATGCGTGGTAGGGATACCCTTCCACTTGTTCAGCCTCTGCCCACGACCCTGTAACGTTCACCTCCTGAAGTCCATGTCCGTGGAATGCCCACGCAATCGGCGCGCATCGGCTTGCAGCAGGAAGCAAAGCGTCTTCAGCGCTCATTCCACGGGGGATGCTTATCAGAACGTGTTTCCCCACCTTAATCAAATCGAACCGCTCGCCGTGAACAGTTTGAAAGTGGGAGGCGCCAACGGCATCCACGCCAGCGCCGGCTCCGCCCGTGATGGAAGCTGCAGGCGGACACAACCTGAGGGATGCGTCGGGCTGGGCGTCGGGAAGGCCGTCGGCAATGCAGTCGGCACAAGCGTTGGGAAAAACGTCGGGAAGGGCGTCGGGAAGGCAAGGCCGTCAGAAAACACGTCTGACAGGGCGTCGTGAAAAGGGTTGGGTACGGCGTCGGGCACGGCGTCGGGTACGGCGTCGGGTACGGTGTCGGATGCGGCGTCGGATGCGGCGTCGGGTACGGCGTCGGGTACGGTGTCGGATGCGGCGTCGTATACGGCGTCGGGTACGGCATCGGGTTCAGCGTCGGGTTCGGCGTGGGGTTCGGCGTCGGGATCGGCATTGGGTAGGGCGTCGGGTAGGGCGTCGGGTAGGGCGTCGGGTGGGGAATCGGTTAGGACGTCGGGCTGGACGTTGACTCCCTAGCACACCACACTGTGAATCGAATTGACCGTTTCCCAAACGTGTCACCAGCCGTTAGACAGGTACACAACCTGTCTCGCGTTAGCCACTGATCCCGTCCCTCAGCGGGCTGACGTAGTCCCATGGCGTGCCGACCCTTCACGACCAGGTGCCAACTCTGTCGGACTCAGCGCCGATGTACGCGTTGCATTTCTGAGATTGGGTGGAGTTAGCTCAGGATCGCGTTGTTGCTGGCATCGTTGTGGATACTTAGACGCTTGGTCATGCCTTCCTGCTTCTACTTCTAACCGTGCCATTGCTACAGCTGTGTTGCTATCCAGATTACCTCTTTACTCTCATGCTACTGTGTCGTCACCAACTCGAGGTCGACAGACGATGGCCGAGATCTTCCTCTTCATCATACTCTACCTCCTCCATCGCCTCCCTCTTATCCCCTCTGTCCTCCTGCCTCTCATCCTGCTAGCCTGCTAGCTGTCTTTCTCGCCCTCGTCCTCCCCCTGGAACGGCGACACATCCTGTAGCTAACACACCCGCTGCACAGACCGTAAAGCTTATGTTCCTCCTTCCTCCTTCCTAAGAAGAGCCGAAACACCTGCGTAAGCAATTCATTTTATGAGGTTCGTGCCGACGTCTTTGATCGGTGCTGGACCCCCCCTCCCAGGCGCGCAGAGCGCGCCAATGGGGGCGCTGGAAGGGCCGACAGGGGGGTCCAACGCCGTCTTAAGACATCCGCGTGAACCTGCGAAAAGCATTTAATGATGATCTGGTTTTCCTTCTTCGAGCAGTGTCCGGCTCATCACCCCTCCTTTCGGCAGCGAGCGAGGGGGAAAGTGACAAGGAGAGACTTCTGAGAAACCCTCGCGCCTTCGGAGAGGTTTTCTGTCTTCGGGGAAGGCTTTGAACAATTCTCAGAAGGCCGGGGGACGTCTGGGGCTTCTGAGAAGGCCCGCCCCTTCTCACGTTCCCCCCTGGGCTCGCCGCCGATCCTTCCCCTCATACTGGACTGCGACAGCTCATTAGGCGTGGCGCCTTCGGGACGCAGGCCCTGGACAGGATGCGATCGGAAAAAGAGCCACTGGCGGGCACATCAGAACTAGACTGCCGTCCAGAGTGTGAGGGTAGCATGATGCAAGATTGGAAGTAGGCTGCCGTCCAGAGTGTGAGGGCACGACACACGTGCTCTTCCTTCTTTGCCTCCATTGTCCTACCCCTCCTCCTGCTCCTCCTCCTTCTCCTCCTCCTCTCACTCCTCTTCCTCCTTCTC